GGTTTCCGAACTTACGTAGTGGCAATAAGAAGGTTGAAGATGAAAGAGGTAGAGGACAGCCGCGCACTCTTTACAATGAACTGTCAAAGTCAATAGTCGAAGAAAACGCTGGTTAAAGTATCGGACGAGTGTCTGAAGCACTTTATGTTCTGAGAACGGTTTGACGCTCTCTGCCTTCATCCCCTGCAAAACTCTAAGGATCCACTGCTCGCCTGAATAGTGACGCGGAATGAAAAGTGTATCCTTTACGATAACCGTGAGCGATCGCACCGATGGCTTGATCGTGACGAAGCGCCCAAGCATTTGCGGATACCGAAGTTGCATCGGCAGAAGATTATGGTGACAGTCTGTGCGTTCTGCTGCTGGGGTTTTCCATTACAGCTTTCATGAGACTAATAATGGAATCAAATATACTGACTGATACTGACAGTAGAGCTTTACTGCAAGCAGCCCGTAGAAATGCATGCTCACTTGAGGTATAATGATGTCTGCGCTAATGAATCGACGTGACCCGATTTTGCTTGACGACAATGCACGGACACACATTGTCAGTATGACACCGCATGAACTCAATGGACTTTACGGCATCCTGCCTTATCCCGATCTTTCACCCGCCGTCATACCTTTTTTGTCAAGCATCTACACACATTTTTAACCAAAAATAACTAAGGTGGAAGCCGGATTCAAAGATTTCTTCATATCCAAGTCGGTCGATTGTATCGACGAGGCATAGATGAGCTTCTTCATCGATGGCACGGCTGTTTAGGACGAATTTGAACATAGAAAGTGTTTCAATAAATAAATATTTGTTTCTTAAGTTGGCCAGTATTCTCTCCGAACAATCTAATAATAGTTGTATATCTTGCGAACTATAGCCTAGGCCTCTTTAGGTGACAGCAGGTCCTCGGGTTGCAAGGCGTTGTTGGATACCGGTCGAAACTCTGAGCATTGCCCTCACCCGGGCAAAGTAAATGCCATCGAGTCGCGTTGACGTAACTGGTTAGATGGCGAGCATACGGTTTTTTGAAAAAAAAATTTTTATCCGTCTCAAAAGGAACCGAAGTCGAAGCCTTACGTTTTTACTTAGAGAAGTGATATAGAAAGCGGTATACAACGTGGCCGTTGGAAGGCACTCAGCACTCAATAATAGGACCTAGCTATTGAGGATAAAACCGATTCTTTACAAGAAGACCTAGCTGCAAGTTTGTCGTACTTTAGAGAATTCGATTGATTTAAAAAACTGAATGTTGTTAAGGTCACAGAAGAGGTGTTGGCGAATAAACAGGAAACGGAAGAAAAGAGCCTAAAAAAGGCGACACGCATTATTCTAATGCTCGAAGAGTGACAACAAACTTTTGACCTGCCAAATAATTGGCGTCGGCAAGCACATAAACAAGACTGAGAGGTTATACTGTGGTGAACGGCCAACAAATGCTGTTCCCTTCCTCGCTTATGCTCGCGGCCGCCCACGTCATCCGTCTTTGCAGGCGGCTGGTCCCACTTGCTGACCTGAAGACCACTTGACCGATATTCAGTCGCGCCCACATGTACACATGGGCGCGTACACGCGTACCGAACTAGTCGCGACTTCTCAAGAGCCACTTAAATACGCCAAGCCACGGCCACGCAGCAGGGGGCCTCTACAGTTGACACCCTCTTCGGGCAATTGCAATACACAAAGAGCAAACCACATGAATTCGTTTCACAGGTCATGTTAAAGCAGCTGCCATTATCACAACACTCAGTCGGCACTCTCTGGCACAACTGGACGCAGTCAACACCAGCCCTGGCTTTGCAAGCGGCCACTGCTGCCTGAGACAGCATAATAGGGTTCTATGCACAATGAAGCCTTCATTCTGTCTTTTACCTTCAACCTGGGGATTTGGCCTGATGATTGTAGTGAGCCCAGTACAACCACTACTTCGACCGCTACAATACTTCTGACGGCTTGTAAAAAACGCCCGGCTAATGTGACATTCGGATGCAACGAATGCTCCTCAGCATAGGGCTGAACCATAATTTGGAGTATCTCCATCTTTATGAGTCCAGAAAACTGCATTCAGAATTCATAAATATCTGATTTTAATTGGTGAAGACGTACCCAGACGACGCGAGTCATACCCTCTATCGGCTTTTTGGGGGAGGCTGGACCGCTGGGAAAAGCAGAGCCGATAACTTGTTCTGGAGTCAGAGCATGGGCAGGCAGTGGACCGAACACCGCGGCACCGAGATG